CAGATCCAATACATGATAGCAAAACACAAAAGGGCATCCCAGAAAACAACTGGCAGAAGTCCAGTACAAACGAGTGCAGAATTGGGAAGTGGTAGGGATAGAGTACTTACCTGGGACAGAAGTCTCAAGGGAAAAACGAAACCTACGGAGTAGTTGATATATTTGAGTTCATCATGGAGAATTATAATGCTGACAGGAAATTTAGGGACATTCATCTACAAATTAGACAACAAGAAAAAAGCAAGGCAAGTATTACATTCTAACAAAAATTTTTACAAGAAAGAAAATCTATCACTAGCCATTTAAGACTCAGCCATGAATAACATTTTCATAGTCCTAGTAACATGAATACTAAATCCTGATTTACCCAAAATTGTATGTAACTACTGGCATGGGAGAGAGGAGAAAACTATGTGTCCCTGTGTGTATTCATGTCAGGAGGAATGAGGGGTGAGACTGAAAGCATCACAATTCCATTATCAACCATCCTCAGAAATGGATGGATATTAACTGATAATCTCCAACTAGAGTGTGTGTGTGTGTGTGTGTGTGTGTGTGTGTGTTGATGTATGCATCAATATTAGCATGTTCTTTGTTTGAAATGCAGAGCTACAAAGCAGAATAGTTGAAGAGTAGGAAGTCTTTGCCTTCAGAAAGTGGGAATTGGACATGAAGGAGTCTCCACCATAGTTTTCCAGCCCACATACAATGCTTCACTTAATGCTTGGCTTTAGTATCTCTTCCAGTCCAAAACATTGTTAGCACATACTGTTTCATTTTCTTCCACTCCCTGGCCATCACTCTTACAAGAGCCACTTCCTTTTGCCCCAGAAGAGTCTGCACATACATATACCGAGATATAAATATGGTTGCTTCTTTGTATGTCTGTCTCTGTCCTTAGCAAGGGTTTTTGCCCTTCTTTGTGCCATAGACCCTTCAAGAGTTTGATGAAATCTGTGAAAGTATTTTTAGAACAATGTTTTAACCTGCATACAACAAAATACAAGGATTGACATATGAAGTTATGAACATATTAAAACAAAACAGATGTGTGATTGCTATAGACCAGGTTCCCCAGGAAATACAGTATGAGCTGGTATAATATAGTTTCCTAAAATGTTGTCTTGATCCAATTTCAAGGCCCTGGCTAGAGGGCAACCGGTTCCCCTTCCTGGGCAGGTGATTAAGTCCGTATCCCCAACTACCTCCTCACTCTCTGAGCCACTATAGACCTGCCCTAATTACCGCGTGGCCAGGTATCAAGACTGCTGGAAACAGCCCCGGTCCCCCAGCCAGCTGAAGTTATTCAAATTAGCCAGTCATAAACTTAGTACCCTGTCTCACCTGTTCCTTTCCACAGAAACCATTGTAAAGTCTCCTGGCCACCATTTTTTCCTTCTCCCTATGCTTTTGTGAGCAACCTTGGTGTATCCACATTCCCCACCCACAGAATCTGTCGCCTACATTCCTGATGGAAGCAAATGCTAAATTTCTGTTGAAGGTAAATAAAAATACAGATATTCAAATTCACACACCTAATTAAGGCGGCCTTTGAGGCAGAATTCTGTCTTGTTTATTTTTACATCTCCAGAGCAAGCCACAGTTCTGGACACCTACTGATGTTGCTTAAATCATTGCTAGGACTTCATTTATCATTACACACATTCTACATGTATTTAATTATAATAGTATTGTACTTTAGAATACAAATATTATATATGCCAATTAAAACATTTAAAATACCTGATGGGATAACATTTTTAAAAAGCTGAAATTTAAAAATTCTTCCAAAGCACTCACTCCATCAGCCGCTTAAAGCATGTATAGCAGGTATTTTTCTAGAGAAGTCTCTGGACCCGACTGAACTCTGTCAGGTTTGGTGAGTCGAAAAAGGCGCCCGGCTATGAGAGGCGGGGCCCACAGAGCGGACCTACGAGATGATAGGCCAAGACGCGAAGGGGGCGGGACCTGTTTTCTGTGAGTGACGGAACCCCCTTCCCATGGGCCTGAGGCCTGCCTTCTCGCGCCCGGAAGTCCCGCCTTCGGAAAAGGAAGGAACTGACTGCTGGAACGCCGGCAGTGACCGCGGCGACAGCGGTGACCCAGTGAGAGGAAGGCAACGGCGAGGGCGGTTGGTCATTATCCTCAGTATCCTGGCTGGCGGTTAGAAGCGGTGCCGGCGGCCTAGGGCAACCCTGGGGTGTACTCAGGTGTCGAAGGTAGTGCCGGCAGTAACCGGTGAGGTCTGAGGACCGTGGGCTGGAGCAGGTGGGGCGCACGGGCTTGAGGAGGGAGGACTGGCAGCGCCCCGCCCGTTGCTGTCCTTTCCTCGAAGTCCCATTTGTGTCCCGGGATTGAAGGTCGCGTATTGGGTAGTATGCCTCATACCTCGCCGCATCACCACCCTACCTCCAACCCCGCACACTGAGGCGTGGATTCCCCAAAACCGCCTCACTTCAACCGCCAAATTCCCACACTCTTAGAAACGTGTCCCCAAAGGGTGGCATAGATTTCAAAGGATTCCCCAAAGGGGTGGTCAGTGTATTTAGAGCTGTGTCTTGGAAGTGAATATCTTGCCCTGGTAGGTTCCCAAGGGATGACAAAGAGGAATAAAAGAGCCGGATTAAGTAACAAGGGAATAGTCTGATTCTAGGTATCAGCTTTAATTTGTCTCTTTACTTTGGCAGCTGGACATTTAAAATTGCTTAGAGTCAACACTTTGATTCCAGCCATGGGTTTGTCAGCATCTACTCCTACTGCTGCAGTTGAGACCTCAAATGTTTCAGATCATCAGACAGTATCTCCACCTTCAAGATGCCCAATGCATAAAAGGAAAAGTCAAGGTAACTGATTCTTTGTTGAGATAATGAAAACAAACAATAATTCTTAGAAGGTCCTAAAGAAAGAAGAATATAGGTGAGGCTCATAGGTAGGCCTGCAAGAAGGGCATTCTGGGGCCAGTCCTAATTTTGGCACTTAAGAAGTGTATGACTTAGATAAGTTACTTCCATAAGTCCCAATCTTATCTGGAAGACCAGAATACAGTATAAGATTATTTCACAGTTATGATGATTAATTGTGATGTTGAATGAGAGTATAATGATTGCTCCATAAAATCAGCCTTGGCTCCCTAAAGTTTACCTGTGTGATTGCATCAGTGATTCTCAACTAAGAGTGGGGGGACCAGAACTCCTTCCGCCAGGGCACATCTCATATTGGGACACTTTTGTCACAATGGAGAGGAAAGGTACACTGGGCATGTAGTAGGTGGGGACCAGGGATGTCACTAAACATCCTACAATGCATAGAACCACCTGCTGACAAAAATCATCTGGCCCTAATTATCAAGAATACCAGGGTTGAGAAACCTTGGCTTAGATCTAGCTATTTCAGTAAATAAGCTTTACTCCTATATTAGTTGCAGTACTCTTCTATGGACTTGTGGTCCATTCTTTCAGTGCAAGGGTGAAAATGAAAAGTTGTCTTTTGTTTTTAATTAGTACAGGTCTTGTGCATTGTTCATAATGTTTGGCTTGAATCAGTAAGAAATGAGGGACAGAGTTGACATGGTGTGCTTACTGAGTGTTGTTCTTGTGGCATACTCATTTAATCCTTGGGCCAGCCAGGCCTGCCCATTATGTGCCACACACTGCTGGATTTTGTTTATTTCTGCGCTAAGAGAGTAGCATGGAACAGGACAAAAACCCTTTACTTAACAGTGCTTACCTTCTAATCATTATAATCCCGTGTGGTAGGTTTTCTCCCTATTTTATAGTCAGTGAATCTAAAGGTCAGAGTTACTAATTGATGTGCTCCAAGTCACATAATATGTGGCAGAGCCAGTGAAAATTCTGTGACCTTGAACAAGGACAGGTACAGTACTCTGGTGGCATTTCTTCCAGGAATTAGACACATCAGACAAAAGCAGGTGTGCTCCCGCTCTTGAGTGTCCCATCCCCAAAGAGTTCAGAGAATCTTTTTTTGGTTTTAGTTCATTTCTTATCTGTCCTAGAGAGTTGTCATTCTGATTTATTGGCATTAGTAAAGAACGAAGGTATTTATAGGAAATCAGAGGGGCTATTGCTTACATAATGTGAAAAATGTAACACTTATTTTCTTTCTAACACCCAGTTGGGATTAGTGCCTCACAAAGAATTGATGTTTTGAATGGTAGGGAGGCAAGGTATGTATAGCTTTAGGCCTTTATGCCTAAAGAGGGTACTAGGAAATAAGGAGCTAGAAAGAGAGACAAAGGAAGAAAAAGAAAGGAAGCGCATCCTTTCTGTTTCTGGCATCGAGCCTTCAGTATATTCCATAGTTCCCGCTGCTACCTAAGACAGGTGTTATGGCTTGTGTCCAGATGTCCTCCCAAAGCCTTATGCTTTCTAGATGGGAATTTTCAGAGGTGGCTGGATCTAAGGTGTGTGATTACTAAAATAGCCCACTGATTGGTTTGGCACAGTTCTGGTGTGGATAATGAGAAGGCACACCTGGGTGTAAGTGCTACCCACCCTAAGGATGTGTACTCTGGGTGGATGTAAAAGGTCAGAAAGCAGGCAGGATGGCTGCTGCTTTTTCCTCAATACTTTGCTGCTTTGCTGCCTTCCTGCCTTCTGCCCACCATGAACTGTCTCCTCTGCAATGCCCTGCTGCTCTGCCACCCTGCCTTGGAGCCAGCAGACTATGAACTGAAACCTCTACAAACTGTGAGCCAAATAAACCTTTCCTCCTCTAACTTTGAGTATCAGGTATGTCTCAGCAATGAGTAAAGTAACTTAAGACAACAGAGATTTCATCAGAGAGCAGCTGCTGTCCTGGGCCACAGTTTTCCAGTTGCCTGTCCTCTCTCCCAACTCTCTCCCAACTGGTTTCTTAGTCCCCACGCTTGCCTGGATCAACACCTTAGATCTTTGGGCATTGATTCCTCTTTCTGGTGGTGTCCTGCTCATTAAGCTCAAACCTTCCCCTTTAGAAGCATCTGTGTCCTACTTGGGTTATGGGTCATTTTCTTTAATGTCTGCCTTTTCTTGCTAAACTCTTGCTATCTGCTGATAAGGAATAACACACTCAACCAAGTGAGACTTTTCTGCACCTTGTTTTAGTTTTGGAGTAAAACACAAGCAGAGTGGTACTGAGATTTTTCTCCAGGAGCCCCTGTGAAGTCTCCTATGCTCATTTTTCTTCTCTTGCCCCAAGTAACTGAGAGAATACATCAATACAGGCAGCTTCAACTGCAGCTGTGTCCTCACTGGGCCTGGCTTGTCTGGAAATAATGAGTGGAAGTTGAGACATGGTGAAATGTGGACCAGCCCCTACTTAAGTTTCTCTCACAGCTCCCACCTACTGCCCAAGCAGCAGCCTTCTTGTCTATTTCAAACATTATGGCATGGGCAGTGCATTACTCTTGAATATGCTGAGGTATTTTTGTGTATTTTTGCTGAAAATATTATACAGAGAATAGGAAAGTAAGTTTACAGAACCTTCTTTTGCTTTGTTGTTGTTGTTGTTGTTTCGGGGATCGAACTTGGGACCTTGCACTTGCGAGGTAGGTGGCAGAACCACTAAGCTAAATCCCTGGCCCACCTTTAGTATTTTTTAATGTTAGCTAGGTTAGTTTTTGCCAGCTTTAAACAGAAGAAACCCAGTTTTTCCTATGGTACTCAGAACTTCACCTTTTTAGGGCCCCAAGTGAGAGAAGCAGGTGTTATGCCTTCTTGATGACAGTGTTTTAAACTTGATTATTTCAGGCTGTCCAATAAGCGTGGAACCATCTGGTCCAACTAGTGACAGCAAAACATACCCTGTGCCTGCCCACCAGGATCAAGCATACCAGTACGTGGGATGCCCCTTTGCAAGTGCTCAGGCCAATAAGAAGAACCTGGATCCTTCAAATCTGGTAATCTATGCTTATGCCTTCTTTCTGGAACATTTTAAACAGAAATGTTTTCACAGTCTTCGAAGATGACCCATTTACTGTGTACTGTAGGATGTCTGTAAGATGTCTCTAGGCCTTGTTTGGGGCCCTCCTGAGAGCCCACTCATCTAGATTATCTCTAATGGCCTAGTAGTGCAGAACATGGACCTTTCAGAATCTTAGAGATCCAGACTCTTACCTCACGAGCTTATTTTACATCATGAGAATATTAATAACAGCTGACTTTTCTTTTAGAATTTTCTGTAGCATTTAGCTAAGCACCACACATTCTCTCCATCGGCCTCATTACAGCTTTGTAATTGTAGCATTTTTAGTGCCCTCACTTTAGAGCTGAAGATACAGAGAGTGAGAGAGTGAGTGGTGTGCTGCTTATCACTCGGCAAGGTATTGGCAGAGCCAAAACTGACTCGTGCTCACCTCAGCCCTGTATCCTTAACATCCTAGGGAGAATTTGGGTAGGCAGTGCAGTGCTTCCTATGCTGGGCTCTCCTACTGTCATTATTCCAATGAGGGGCCATGTGATGGCTGAGATTCTGCATTATTAATATGGAACTGCTAGAAAATCTTCCATACTGCTAATAGGAAAAAGAAGTTCCAGGCCAGTGGTTCTCAACCTGGGGTGATTTTGCCCCTCAGGAACAGTCAGCTATGTCTACAGATATTTTTGGTTGTCACAACCAGGGAGTAGTGGTCAGGGATGGTGCTGAACAACCTGCAGTGTTCAGTACTGACTCCCACAACTACAAGTTGTCTGGCCTCTAAAGGCAGCAGTGCTGAGGATGAGCAACCCTGGCCTAGGCTAGCTGTTGCTGTAATAGCATTGCCAACCTGACCATCTGTGGAAGAAGGGATTCTTCCCACTTTCTGCTCTGGCAGCATTGAAATGCAAATGCCCATCTCTCCTGTGCTCAGCTGAGAGGGGGAAAGTATCATCAGGGTCATAAAAATAGAGTGTTTAAAAAGAAAATAGCATTGTATGCATCATCTGTGAGAGTATCTGAGAAGAGTAAAGAGCAAATAGTTGTTTTTCAAAATCCTGTCATAAAAACGTCTGTAGAAATGCCTGCAGTTCATCATATTTGTTTTTACTTCTTTTTCCTTGATGATGTTGCTTCTAAGTTGTTCAAAGGAAAGTGACCAAAAATCTAACCACAAAGTCTATGTACCATTTATAAGAACTTAGGAAAAACTTCAGTGTTCTGACTCTTCAAAACTAAATATTAGAGAGGTTTGGAATTTTTATATCACCCATTTAATGGGGATCTTGGGCTTTGTGCGAAATACATTGCTTTCCAGGAAGTACTTAGTTGTATTACCTGTTTTTACTTTGTACATTATTTCTAGCATTTTAAAAACAAATTGCTTGTTTTCTTCAGATGCCACCACCTAATCAAACACCATCCCCAGATCAGCCGTTTGCTTTGTCTACTATCAGAGAAGAATCATCCATTCCAAGAGCAGACTCTGAGAAAAAGTGGGTTTATCCTTCTGAGCAGATGTTCTGGAATGCAATGTTAAGGAAAGGGTGAGTGAACATATTATTTAGAGTATAAATTTGCTCATCAAATTTGTCTAAGAGTTAAATGTTAAAGTAATTTTTACTCCCAAATCATAAGTTTTTTATGAGTAATCAGTTTATAATAATCAGTGGAATATTCAGACCCATCAGAATGTAAGTACAAGAGAAACAGAACCAACAGGATGTGGGTACATTTGTATGACAGGGAAAGCAGGGAGAGTTACAAAGAACTGGTTATGCAGGCTATAAAGTCCTAAGATCTGCAGCCATCAAGCTAGATACCCAGTTCTAGTCCAAGTTCAAAGGCCCAAGAACTGGGAGAGCTAACAATGTTAAGTTCCAGTCTGGCAGCTGGCAGGCTCAAAACTCAGAAGCCAGTGTTTTTGTGCAAGTTCAAAAACAGGAAAAGACTCGTGTCCCAGCTCAAGCAATCTTTTGTTACTTGAAGGCCTGCGACTGAGTGGATGAGGCTCGCCCAATTGGGTAGGGCAATCCATTTCACTCAGTCTGCTGCTTCACATGTTAATCTCACTCAAATTACCCTCACTGATATCCTAGAACAGCAATGGGGAACCTTTTAGAGCTTTCAGTGATACAAACATCCCGCTACAGCACATATGCCATAAGTTTACCACCACCGTTTTAAAATAATGTTTGACCATATGTCTAGACACTCCATGACCCCATCAGGTTGACATGTAAAATTGTTCATCACAGCCAGTAATGTTTTTAAAAAGAAAATACTACTACATAAAATGCTTAGAAAACGTCAGTGATTTACTAATTAACAATGCCAGCTGAGAAAGTGTCACTTTAAAAATGGCTGGTTCTCTAAGTTTGGCTTTTGGAGACTCAGTGAAATAAATTTCAGGTGAACCTTTACTCTTTGATTCCAGTGTATATATGTGTAATAATGTATTTATGGCATTATTCCACAAACATGACCAAATCTTGAAAAATGAGTCTTAGACCCATTAAATTCAGAAAAAATGAGCATTCTTAGTTCTTTTAATTAATAAGTCATATGAATACATGGATTAACTTTTTCACATTGTCAGTAGTAGTTGTTAAATTTTACCCAATTTCCTTTTGTAGGTGGAAGTGGAAGGATGAGGATATTAGTCAGAAAGATATGTATAATATCATTAAGATTCACAATCAGAATAATGAACAGGCCTGGAAGGAGATTTTGAAGTGGGAAGCCCTTCATGCTGCGTAAGTATGTTTAAGATCTTTAAAAAAAAATGCAGCATCTTTTACTTCATATCAACTTTCTAGGGTTTTAACATTTTATTCAAATAATTTGTCATTTAAATGAAACATTTGTGTAGTAGGCATGTTCTGGTGACAATTATTATGGGACATTACCCCTTCTTAGGTTAAAAAAAAACCCAATGTTTTATTCAGCCATGGTCTCAGGGGTCCAGAATGCAGAAAGGACAGACCAAAGATGCTCCCTGACATCCGATGCCTCAGCTGCCCCGTCAGTGGTCAGGGATGGCTCAGACTTATAGGCTAGAGGCCTCTGAAGGCTCAGCCAGTGCCCATCCTGCAAGTGGTGCTGGCCATCCGTCAGAATACCTGCTCATGGCCTCTACATGTGACTGCTTCGACTTCCTCATGTCATGGTGGCTGGGTTCCAGGAGGTAGAGTCTCGAAAAGCTGCGACTCCTTTGCTTGCCTAGCCTCAGAAGCCCCTGATTCCCACGGGGAGGAGTATTTTTGTCCATTGAAAGCAGAGCATGTGGGAAGGGAGCTACTGAAATAAAATGCTGTCTGCCCCAAAGGAGATGGGAAACATGGTTTTGTTTCTTCTGCAGCATTTGTTGAAGCCCCATTGGGCCTTAACACAGGGCCCTTTACTCAGGGGAAAGAAGGAAATGTTGACACGTGTGTGCTGTCAGAGGTGCGATTCCATGTAGGTTTGTTCCAAGCCTGACTGAGTCTGTGTGGGCTTGGCCCAGGTTTGGCATTTCTAGAGCAATCGATTCTGATGCCGCTGTTTCAAGGACTCTGCTTGCAGAGGTGTAGGAGTGGGCCATGTCTGCACAGAGAACCACATCATATCGCTGTTGCTTCTTACATACCACACTCATTTGTTTCTTGGCTAAAATCCAGTGACTGATATTTTTCTAATGTGTTCACTTTGTTTGTAATATTTTAGTATTTGATGTGGTTTGTAAGGGCTTCTTGGCTGTCACTGGCCAGGCCCCAGGCCTGAGGTCGGTGTGCAGGAAGAGGGACTAACATTGGAACCGTGTTTCCATCAATGACCTGTGGCCTGTAGGAGTGCCCTTCTGTCTTGCTGCACATAGTTCAGTGACCGAGGTTGAAAGCGTGCTCTTTTTAAAGCCACCTGCTGCTTCCTTACAGTGTGATTATGGGGCAGGAGCAAAGGGACGGTTCAGCTTGTTAGTTTCAGCTCTCTCAGTCATCTGTCTTCCAGAGTTCAAGTAGAATTAGGCCCTTAACACCTTCACAATGGCCCCTAACTCCTGTGTCTTGCTGCTGGGCCGCTCTTGACCACTGGTGGTACATGCATAACTGTCCCATCGGGCACCGTGGAACAGTTCCATCAGGCAATATGAGCTGACAGTCATGCATGTATCACCTGTGATTCAAGCCAGCAGGAACATGTTACAAAAGCTACTCGAAGGTGTCTAGGAGAAAGTTTGCCTAGATTGGGTTTATTTCTTTGCCTGTGATATCCTCTTGAGAGGAGATACTAGGGAGCAAGTTCTAAATGGAGAAGTCAGTGGTTCACATGGACCTTAAATAGGGCAAAACAGAGCCCTCTCGCAAACTCACAGAGACACATAAGAACCAGACCCTGTCTTGTCAAGGGGGCAGCTAACAAGATAGGTGGTCTTGTCTCAACTGCCTACCCTCCATTGGGCAGCAGCTCCATGACTCTCATGCAGTTGGACTGTGCCCTTCGTGAGACCCAGTACCCCAGGGCCTACAGAGTCGGCTGTTCAGGAGCCCTTAGCCAGGGTCTGTGGGCAGCGTACATGGACTCTGTAGCTAGGATTCTTCCACCCCTTGTCTTACAGTGTAGCTCTTTACCGAAGGAGTGGGTCTAACACTGATTACAACCAGATCCTAGACATTCAGCCATCATTGTTCTTTGTTTATAAAGGCTATTAATTGGTTTGAAGTGAAATAAAAGTAGTTGTTCCACAGTATCCATGGAGAATTCGTTCCAAGACTCCCAAAGATACCAAAATTTACAGAAGCTCAAGATCCTTATATAAAATGGTTTATAATTTGCATATAACCTTTGTACATCCTCCTGCATACTTTAAACCATCTCTACATTACTTACAAGACCTATGCAGTATAAAAGCCTATATAGTGTAGGTGCAGGGTTTTTTTCCCCCGAATATGTTCAATCTGCAGTTGTTTGAATCCATGGGTGTGGAGCCCACAGATGCAGAGGGCTGACTATATAGTTTTTTATGTTTGCCTGACAGAAATCCCAGTGGCCCTATTTAAAAGAGTTCTTTCTTCTGAGAGTGCTCCTGTTCCCTTGCTCCAGGTAGAAAGGCCCTGGTTCCTGGCTGCTGTGGAATAGCGGTGTAGATATCTGGAGGGAAGGGGTGGGATTGAAATGTACCTGATCTAGAAGCAAAGAGGAAGGTTCTCAACAAATATGGACAATTTTTTTAACTAATTTAGCACTTACTATTCTCTGTAAGTATGATGTTATCTAGAACACATACCAAAAAATGTATGTCACTTAAGAAATGGAAGATCATCTATGTTACGGGAAAGAAAATGTTTAATAGACTTATTTGGGGGTTTCTAGGGAGTGTCCTTGTGGTCCATCATTGATCCGATTTGGAGGGAAGGCAAAACAGTATTCACCAAGGGCAAGAATTCGTTCCTGGATGGGGTAAGTGGCTGCAGAAATGTTATTTTATGTTCCTTGGGGCAAAGCCAACTTGCTTTTGGCACCAAAACGAAAGAATCTAAGAACTGCTTCAGTTCTGTCTCTAAAACTCAGTATTCAGCTGCAGATTTCTTCTTCAGCCTTGCTCATTGATTGGGCAGATTTGTTAGGATACAGCAGCTAGTATACTATTGAAGGACTGAACTGAGTTCTGTATTCTTGGATCCTTCCTCTTACTCCTCTCATGATCTTTAGGTCCATCCACTCAGCCCTCGCCACCCCTCTCCTGGTGCAGCTCAGATTCTTAGCACATGGTTGCACTGCTACAGGCTCAACTGACTTTCTTCCCTGGGGTCCCTTTCCCGTGGACATTATTCCTTTGTGGACAAATGAGCTCCATAATTCTTCAGCGCCATGTTCCCTTAGCGCTGTCTCTCCAGGTCTCACCTTCCTGGCTCGCTGTTCTGTACTGGCAGCAGGCAGGTGCTGCTTCTCAGTCTCCTTTTGCTTAAACCAGGACCTGCAGATTTTAGCACTCACCAGCATGCTCTCCTTCTAGGTATGAGTTGCCTTTTGACAGGCATGACTGGATCATCAACCGCTGTGGGACGGAAGTTAGATATGTGATTGATTACTATGATGGTGGTCAAGTGAACAAGGACTACCAGTTCACCACCCTGGATGTGCGTCCCGCCTTAGATTCATTTTCAGCTGTATGGGACAGAATGAAGGTCGCTTGGTGGCGCTGGACTTCATAACCAGTTTTGTTTGTGATGGAAAAACAAACTTGTTTTTTTCCTGAGAGGTACATTAAACTATTTCCCCTAAATTCCATTCATGTTGTAAGGAGAACTTGAAGTGGGCAGTCACACTTCATCCTTCACTTAGTGAGGGATACCATGTTCTAGTAACCTTTGAGTCACATTTTGCCTTGCAGTTTATAGCAGACCATTTTAAGTTTTCCTCCCATTTCATGTAAGTGGGAGGCAGTCCCTTGGATTTTCCTTTAACTGCACTGTTGCCTGTGTAGTTCATCTTAAAAAGTTTTAACCTCTGTAAAAGAGCTTTTGAAAAACACTGAAAGTTGTCTTGTTTTTTCATAAATGAGATGTAAAACCTGAAAGTGCAATGTTCATGAGCTTTTACTTGGACAAATATTTTAACTAAAACTTAGCAATAAGACAGTTATGCTTTTTAAAAAATGACCAGCACTTATGAATTTCCTACAATTTATTAGCACCTCTCAAAAAAATGCAAGAGTATACATACACTGGAAAGGTATTCAGCAAGAATAAGCATGTCTTTCCTCTCCAAATTCTCATTTATAAGAATTTTTCAGACTGTACCTGTTACAGAAATTTCAACTCACCATGAAGTAACACTGCATATATTTTGGAACATATATTTTAACTTTTAAGTTTTTCCTTTTAATTCCTATAATTCTAATATGTAAGTCAGTTTCCCAAGAAAGAGTCCCATTCCTTCCCGGGAGGGGAGCTTTCCTTCCAATTGGCCTAATCCAAACCCTGAGAGCCTAGCTTAAATCACAGCACCAGTGCTGATCCCTCTCTAAAACATCATTTATTTGGCTGTGTGTTAAAATTCACCAAGAAGAGTACCTTTTCTCAGATGTAGAGTATTTGCATCAATTCAGTGTGGATTTTTTGTTTTAGGGAACCTCTAAATTTGCTGTTGGAATTCTTTGTTTCAGTAACCCATGGACTGGTTCTAACTATAGCAGCATGTTACAAATGACTGGTTTTTCTTCAGTGTTCGTGATGTTAAATCTTTCATTTATCTTGAATACTTAGTGTTAAATTATTAGATGGAATTGGCAGTCTGAGTGATTGACTTGGTGTGGATTTCTCTGTTATGTCAGTTCTGTGTGGAGGTTCAAAAATGCAACAACCTTAAGTTGTACGTGTCAGAATATTTATATATTTTTAAATAAAGCTGATAGTTCTCGGGTTTAAAAAATCGTCTCAGAGTAACTTTATGAGTAATTGTTTCTTCAGGCTGTAGTTTATAGTCTTCCCACTTGAGACAGCCATGTTCTGATCTTTTCGTCCCATATGTTTAAACTATACCAACAAACAATTACTGTTTAGCCTTTTCTGCTTCTAAATGCTACTGATTGAGTATATGAGAAACAGTACATTGTAACTGGAAACTGAGGGTAAAGCCAGCCACATGCAGGGATTAACCCCAGTTACAGGGCTATGATATTTTTTGAGAAAGACACTGTTGAAAGTAAACTGTCCAGCAAACTTGATTCCAGGGTCAACAGTTGTATACAGCCCTCGCCATTTCCAGGACTGTAGCCTACTGAATATTCAGAGCTGCTTTGTGTCTGATCATGCCTGGGGATCAGGATGTCCCTGCTCTGATAGGTGTTCTCTTCGTGTATAACTTGAAATTCATTTTGGATCGTCTCTGGGGTTTTCAACGGAAGTCTTTCATCTGCAGAACTAGCACTGTTCAGAATCAACATCTTACTGTACATCGCGCTATTAGCAGAGAAAGGGAGGTTCCAACTGGGATTGCACATTGACATTTAGTATTTCTGTGAATTCACAAGTTAACATTTGTGAAATGTTTATGTCCACTCAGTGTCATAGGGGGCATAGAAAGTTTTGAGAGGTATGTCCCCTACTTGCAGGGAACCCAGTCTTTTGGTGGATAGTCTATAAATGAAATAGAAGTGTTGACACAATTCCACTTTAAAGAACACATTGGGGTGATACTGGTAGGGGTTGCAAATTCACATATTTTAGTTTTTTCCAAACCTTAGAGGTGCCCTACCACTGAGCTACATTCCAGTATATATAGTTTTAAGTTACTTAGGCTGATTTTGAACTTGAGGTTCTCCTGACTCAGCCTCCCAGGTAGCTTGGCCACCCACGCTCAGCCACATAGATATTTTTGAGCATATACTGTTACTATCGTTTTTACTGAGTGACCAGTATGGCCCATCCTCTACCAGAGTTATTGTTCCTGTGTGCACTCTGAAGTGTCCGCAGTAACTGTCGGAATGCATGGTTTAGAAGACATGTCCTGGGCTGAGGGTGTATCTCCGTGAGAGAGTGCTTCCCTAGCATGCATAAGGCCCTGGGTTCGATGGCTAGGACTGCAAATCAAAAGAAATGGAGGGAGGAAGAGAAGGAAGGAAAACTGCTGAAAGCAGATGGCTTCTTTAGTTTTTTCTCTGTCCTACTTGCTGTGTGATCCCAGTTATCTCAGGGCCTCCGCTTTCACAGCTTTCGTGAAGTGAGGAGCCTTGAGACGTGCCCGAGTTGTGCAGTTACTGTGGTGCAGGCCTGAGAGCACTTGGGACCGAGCCGGCAGGTGGGTAAAGTTTAGTAACCATCAGCTGTCATCACATGATCGGCGGGTGTAGCGTAAGAGTCCCAGGCACGCAAAGAAAGGCAAGTGCTGAGACACTTCACAGAATACCATCCCCTGATCCTCCTCCCCACGAAAAATCTTTTTAGAAGGCTAACAGCAGGCATGATTCCTGGTTTGGGTCAATTTTAAGTATCACCAGGTATAGATTATGGGGGCTCATTAAGCATACCGATGTATTTAAAATCACTGAAGGGAATCCATGAAAAAACAGAAATGTGACAGGGTGACATTTGGTTTACTTAGTATGCAAGTCTCACTTAACAAAAACAAAGATTATAATTAAGCTCCTGTGCTTCCTAATCTAAAATGTAGCAATGTAAATGTAGAAGCCAAGTCTATAAATAGTAAGGGAAGGGGAATGGTGAAGAACAGGCTGGGAAAATATTTTACAAATCCAAAATAATTCTTTGTTTACTTCTTGCAGTTCCTTAAATTTACTGTTAAAAAATTAGCTGGCATTGCAGATAGAGCACCATGCATGTGGTTCTTGTAAGGACAGAGTAGCACTGCAGACCCACAGCACCCACAAAGCAAGTGGCTTTGGCTGTACTGGGAAAAATCACCGAATGATACTCATGTGCTTCCATTTAAAATGCAAGGTGTAATCATTTTGTTTTTATTTCAAATGCATTTTTGAAGAATGAGTTGACATCTTTCAGGCAAATTTTTTCATTGGAGCATCATGCTGCCTTTCCCTTACTCTCCATTTTCGGTTTCCCTGGCAAGGTGCCTCTCCAACTTCCCTGTAGATCAGAATCCCGGAAGTCTTGTTGAAGCAAATGGCTGTGCCCTGGCCCAAAGTTGTGATCCTGTAGGCCCTGGGCAGCTGAGAATTTGCCTTGTAAGGAGCTCCCAGGAGATGCCGATGCCGCAAGTGCAGGGACCAAGATTTGAGCCTCCCTTTCCTTTGACGTCCTTTGGGTCTTTTCAGCTCTCACCTACTCATATCTTTGCAGTTACACTTAAAATTGCCACGTACTCAAGTAGCCATGGGTCAATGCTCCAAGCAGACATGAAAGCAGAAGTCAAATGGAAATGCCCCTTTTCTAACTCTGCTTGCTCCCCATTTCTTCCCTGAATTCCCCCATCTCACCTCAGTCGTGAACACTGCCTACTTTCGCCATGCCAGTTTGTTTCAGAAACTTTTTGGAAAGTTCATCTCCTGTGACTTTTGTAAGTGATGGCATGGAGCAAGGAGACAACAGAATGGAGACAAAGTCCCCCTAACTGGTTCACAGAAAACCCCTGTACAGAGTGCTGCTTCTATGTGAATTGTCTCAAGAGGAGCCTGCCTTGGTGGCGGTGGCTGCTCCCACATTAGCCTGCCAGGGCAGCTGTAACCAAGTGCCACAGATGGAGGCCAAATGTCCGAGATGAGTATTATTCAGGGCCGTGCTCCCTCTGGAGGTTCCCAGGAATGATCTGTTCCAGCCTTCTCTCCTCACACTTGGTAGTTCTTTGGCCTGTGGCAGTATAAGGTGTGCGTGTCTGTCTTTGTACTCTTCTTTCCCCTTTTTGATTAGGACACCAGTTATATTGGATCACCCCCCACCCAACATCCTCTTAACTGAATAACCTGCAAAGACCCTATTTCCAAATAAGGTCACACTCACTGGCCCTGGGGTTTGGGACTCTAACATCTTTTTGGGGGTGGAAGGTGGAGGCCAATACAGTTCAGTAACCACCCCCACCCCCGCGCACAAAAAAAACAACCTTTGCAGAATGGCTGTGAAAACCTTCTCCCCACCCAGCACATCCTGGCATCTGAGTGCCATCCCTGCTGAATTGCTCCACTATTTCTCTGCCACTTTCCTCCACTTGTGACCATCGTGTCCCAGGGCTGCTTTGCTCCCTGGGAAGATGTCATCTTATGCAAGCTTGGATATTCTCATGGCCACAATGCCTTCTGCACCTTGTTGAACAGGACTCACAGCTCATGCACGCCTTGGCTGAAAGTCTTGGTGGGAGGTGAGAGGGAAGGCAAGTCCTGTAAAGCAGCAGTTCAAGGAAAAAGGCCAGATGGCTCATCTGCCCTCTGTTCTTCGAGTAACTGGACACTCAGAAGGCTCTGAGCAGACTTACCAAGTTTATTTCTAACACGAAGCAGCCTATTTCTAATACCTTCCTTAATTTTATTAACCCTCTAAGGAAATGTGGCTATCGCCTTTCTACAGAAACCAGAAACAGCTTTGCCCTTTGCTTAATGGACATCTGAGGGTTCTGTCCTCCATTTCACTGTTGGCCCAACATCAATACCAAGCAAGGTCTCACTGCCCAGTGCCTATAGGAGCCAACACCACGGCACCAGCTGTTAGCACAGAGAGCCTTACTGAAGGCCTACCCACAGGGAGCCAGGAGGCACACTCAGATCTGGGAGGGGATTAAAGCAGCCAGCCCAGTGTAAGGGGAAATGGAACGCTGGTTGTAGCTGGGAGTTTCAGTAAAGCAGACTGGGCTGAGCTGGCCAGCTCAGATGGAACTTGTAGACAATTTTGGGCCATCCTGCAACTGTTGACAGCTCCCTTGCTTCTCATCTAGGTCTGTAAGGCCCTGTTGTCCCTCAGGTTCCAGTCTCGGATGCTTTTGTTCCATAAGACTCAAGCTCATTTTAGGTCAGGTCCTAGAGTTCTGCTCCTCTGACCCAAAAACCAGCTCCAAAAGATTTTAGAAGTAGTTGTAGCTTTATGGCTCTGTTTCAGCATTACATTTTGATCTTGAAATTAGTTGAATGGCTTGTTCTGTTGAGTCTGCTATAATGAAACGCTATAGACTGGGGACCTTAAATAACAAGACTGATTCCTCACGGTCTGGAGGCTGGAAGTGTAAGATCAAAGTGGCAGATTTGGTGTTTGCTGAGGGCTGTCTGCCTCCTGGTGCTGCTCCCTGTGTCTTGCACAGAAGGAGCAGAGGAGCTCACTAGGTTCTCTTTTATAAGGGCATGAATCCCACTCTTGGATCTTCAGGACTAAGCCACCTCTCCAAGGCCCTCACGTCCTGTCATCTTGGGAGTTATCGATCTTGAGCAGACAAAATGCTCAGACCATAGCAGCAAGAGAAGCACACATTAAAAGTCAACACTAAAGAAATTGTGATCGGAAATAAGACTAAAGTTAGCAGAGATAGAAGCACAGAGAAGTGTACAGAAGGGGATCAGTGGACTGGGTTTTGCATTTCAGAAATGTTATTCACATTCTGAGATGGAACCAGGTGTGATTTTACATGAGTTCATATTTGAGGACTTGGTTGCCTCATTTGCAAGGTTCAGTGAAAAGTGAAAATGAAGTGTCTTTTGATGAAAAAGAATGAACATTTCAAGACAGCATTCGCCGCACCAAAATTTAAGTAACTGCAAAGCTAGCATGCCAGGAAGCTAGCCCTGATAGCAAATATAACATCCTTGATCTCTGCCAAGTTCTCCCTGAGATATTGGCTCCACTGCCCCAAACTCTCTTTCCTGTTCAAGTGTCTTACTTCAGAATGTGGGTAGCATTTTGTTGTTTTTGTCCACAAGCCTGCTTGCGGAAAAAGGTTCAGAGGCCCGGACTGGGAAGGCTAGGCCAGGGACCACCACGCAGACTCTGGGGAGGTTTCTGGAAAGCTTCCACTTTATTCAGGAAATGCACAGGCTTATATAGGGTGAGGCGGGGGTGGAGCCAGTGTGGTGCTATTGGATCGCTATTGGATCGGGTAAGGCAGGGATGGAGTCAGGATATTTAGCACATCGTTATTGGCCACATGTTATGTTTTAGGGGCTGAGGAAAATGGAGTCAGGACTTTAGAGGTTTTTGAGAGGAGCAGTTTACCTGCCTAAGGTCAGATCTCTACACACAAAGGGGGCTGATTATTCCGGCCCTAATGGGGCCTTGGAGTTTTCTCGTGAGAGATGGGTGCAGCGCTCCTGACTCAGCCAGATTTTAACCTGATCCTCAGTTCCCCCTTTTGTCTCTGACTCCAGAGCCTCAGCCAGAAGGACCACGTTTTTATGATTTTTGTTACTGGCACGTCTGATCTTTGAAGTAAAGAACAATAATATGTCAAACAAGGTTAATATATATGGAGATCCCAATATCAATCCACATATCCAACTACTCAAATTATTCCATCCAGCCTGAATTTTTGACCAAATGGTAACTCACACATTATTTAAAGTTATAACATCTAACACCTGCATGTTAATTCCTCCCAAACCAAGTTTAATTGGATTTGTACATTGAGTATGGCTGACATAGCCGTACTATGAAATAGCAGGGCGGTCTTTTTGAAGGCTTGGGTGGTGGTTTTTGTTAGCTGGTTAGCTTGTTGCTGCTGTTGCCACTTGATTTTGTGAGGTGACTGTTGCCGTTATTATGGCGGAAATAGCTGCCACCATGGAAACGATGACTGCAATAAGGGCGGAAATTTCAAAATCTTTACCGCAGGGATGAAGCATAAGGTTAAAGAGTGGATCTGAAATTCTGCCGATCTTTTGTAAGCTTTACCAGAAGCCAAATAGAGGGAGGCATTTTAGCTAAATACAGATGAAACAAGATAGGGATAGAGGGGTTACATACTTGCAGATTTGTCCAGGGCCAAGTAGAGATCGAAGGCTCTGCCGCAAGAAGGATGTTTCTGGACGCACAGTAGCACCCCCAAGACCTCCCAGCACCAGCAGCCACAAGCCGGGGACCACACAGCCCCCGTCCCGCAGGCCTCAACCCCACGCGTGCTCGCAGCCCTCAGCCCCGCTGAGTCCCGGAGTGGGACCCTGTGAGCAGCTGGGATGACGGGATCCGCGGTGGGAGGCGAGGCGGGGACAGGGAGGCCGGGGAAGACAAAAGGACCTTTGGCCACTGCGTAGCTGTTAGACTTGGTCGACCAGGCTCCCCTCCCGGCTCCGGGCAGCAGGCCCAGGCGCCCAAAGCTGCAGGTCTTTCGCTCTGAAACTTTTCCGGAGCTCTCAGCTTCGCTGGACCGGGCTTTGGAGGAGGAGGCTGGGCAGCCCGGAGGCCCAGGACCCCGAAGCCACGCTAAGGCCCGATCAAAGGATTGTTCGTCCTCATCTGACAAGGCGGCGGCGCACAGGGTGGAGGCCGCCATCTCAGACGGGAAAAGGTAGGCTCTTCCGGATGACCATTAGTCCAGTGAGGAGGGGTTTTAGGGGGCCACGTCATCGACAGGAAGTGAGAGACCAGTGGGCGGGGTGACGCCTCTGGGGAAGAAGAAAGCAGAAGGCAGCCCGCCCGCGCCATCTTTTTTCAAGACGCTTTTGTCCGCCATCTTTACAGTGTTCAGGGGGCCTACACTCGCCTGAGTTTGGGCTGGAAGTGCCTCGGATGCCTTTATGGCATGAGAGCCCTTTACTAAGGCAGCCTGTACCGGATGTTCTTGACTCATGACATTACCCAAAATAGGAGGGATCCTTACCCGCAGCTTCATTATTTATCCAGCACACGCGAGTCCCCTGCTGTCTTCGTCTGCTAGCCCGCTCGTGGAACAGGGTTCAGGGGGCCTGGACTGGGAGGGCAAGGCAGGAATGACTGAGCAGATTCTGGGGAGGAACGCTTCCACTTTGTTCAGGAAATGCCCAGGCTTCTGTAGGGTGAAGCGGGGGTGGAGCCAGGGTGGTGCTATTGGATCGCTATTGGATCGGGTAAGGCAGGCAGGTGTGGAGCAACGGTGGAGTCGGGATATTTGGCACATCGTTGTTATTGGCCACATGTCAGTTTTGGAGTGTATGTTTTAGGGGCTGAGGCGAATGGAATCAGGACTTTAGAGGTTTTTGAGAGGAGCAGTTTATCTGCCTAAGGTCAGATCTCTACACACCCGAGGGGGCAGATTATTTCAGCCCTAATAGGGCCTCCGAGTTTTCTCATAAGAGATGGGTGTGACCCTCCTGACTCAGCCAGACATGAACCTGATCCTTAGCATTTTGTGCTATGATGGACATTTCTGACTTTTCAGCCAGGGGGCGATGGATAGGTGGATGAATGGATTCATCTATTAATTTGTATATTCAATGGTATATGGATTACTACCAGGGAGTAGCCACTGGATCATTTGCCAAATTCCTGGGACCTGGCAATCGCTGCTTCCTTTCTCACAGCACTGTTCACAAGACTGACCATTTTCTTAGCGCAGCTATCCTTGATGGCAGATCTAGACTTGTGCCTGTCTTTCTAACTCTGGAGCCCACCCAGCAATGGGCTTGGCTGTCGGTGGGGCCCTGGTAAGTATTAATCGGATAGATTATTGGATGAAGCCATCAGCCAATCACTTGATTTAATGAAGTCACCACATGGCTTTTATAGCTGTTTGAAACACACAAAAAACCTGAAGACAATGCTAGGCTAAAATTAAGTGTGCTATCATAATAAATCTATAAATGGATATATTTATTAATTATAATTCAATTCAACTCCTCTCCGCTCTGGATCTTTATTGATTTTAGCTCCCATTTTTCCTATTCCATGAGGGCACCGGTATCCCTGAAGCTGCAGATCATCCCGGAAGTAGAAGCCCTTCCCCTCCTCCAACTGAGCCCTGCCCTTTGAGAGCCAGAGGCTTTGATACACAATTTCAGAGCTTTGTTCCCTGAAGGCATTTTTCTGAACAGCAGGTGGCGCGATTGAATAGCTTGTGACCAAATCCTGTTTCTGCTCTTTTCCAGCTGAGCAGCCTTGGTCAACTCACTTGACCTCCTGGAATCTATGGTTTCTTCTAGACAATGAGGGGTTGAATGAGGTAATGTGGGAAAAAGACTCAGAGCCAAAGCCATTAATAAATGATAGCTGATAGTACCTGCATTTCACAGCAGAGATTCCCAAATTTTGTTTCTAAAATGATCTCACGTGGGACACCAATGACACTGTCACCTACTGACTGTGTTATGAGATAGCTGTGCCCCAGGTATTTTGTCAGGATGCCCCTAGGAATTAGGTGTTACCATGCCCTGACTATTCTGAGGAAACAGAGACGGTGAGGTAAAAGTACTTTGCCAGAGGTCACCCAGCAACTCAATAGAGGGAAGAGGAAGGAGTCCGTCCTTGTGCTTTCTGACTTTGAACCCCACACCTTGAAACTTCATTGCTTTTGTTACAGTCGGTAAATATTGTATTTATGGAGCCCTAACCAGGAGGGACAGATACTTCCTGTACCACTTTTCCTGGTAAAATGGCAATCTTGCCAATGGAAAGGCAGCGCACTGTAACCCATCCACCCTCACCCCCATGGCTCAGGGCAGGGGTGACAGGCCTCAGTAGGTGAGCACTGACTGAGAGACAGTGTCTGCTAGGCATCAGCTCCTCCTCACACTGTCTCCTCTCTTTGAAAGCTTTTTTTGTTTGTTTTTGAAAGCATAGCCCTACTTCTGCATTGGCTGGGAGGCTGAGAGTTTTATGCTTTTCCTCCACTCACTTCACGATAAGTTGTTTGATCATATTTACATGCTTATGTGTAGCAGATTTCTACCAAGCGCCAAGAGGTGTCAGGTCTCTCCCTGGTCCAGGGACACAAAACAAAAAACATAGTCCCTACCCTCAGGAACAGAGTAGGAGCAACCTCCAGATAAAAACCGTAAGAAAGAAAGGATAATGGCTAGAAATATTTGTTAACGCAGCCACAACCATGCACGTAGGCTAGAGGAGCTGTGAATCATTGTATTTCTGGTAAAGAAAGAATTGGAACTAATTCTGCAAGAAAATAGCATCCAGTTGAATAAGAAAAGCAGGGAAGGACATTTGAAATTCATCAAATGGAAATGCAACATAGTTTATTACTTGCCCGGGGAATTTTCTGCACATGGCCAGAGTGGAGGGTGCTGTGTTGGGGAGAGAGACCAGATCGTGGAGTGTGCTCTGTCACCGTGGAGTGTGGACTTGGCCCTGGAGACCCGAGGGACAGGTGGGCCCTTGCAGGTTTTGATACAGTGACTGCCTCAGACAAGATGCGCACTTCAGAGCTCTGAGCCTGGTGCTGTGGAGGAGAGGAGGGGCAGAGATGCTGGGCTGCTGCAGTGCTCCGAGACTGACATGGAGCCGGAGGGGACAAGGGCAGGAGTAAAACCATGGGGGCAGGCAAAGAGGGGGCAGGCTCACTGAAATAGTTGAGGCATGCAGTCCTTCCTGTCTGTTGAGGCACCGTGGACAATCAGTGAGAGTGTCGAGCAGATCATTTGGGAATAGGGAGGCTCTCAAGGCTGGAGATTGGGGTCGCCAGCTTGAACAAACAGATGTTCAGTTCAACCTGAGCGTCAGATACACAAAGAATTTCTTCTTAAGTATGTCTCGTGCAGTAAATTGGTTAATACATCATTTTAATAATATAAACATTTTGCACGAAACATACTGATACTGACACGTGATCCACTGTTGATCTGGCATTCAAATTGAACTGGGTGCCCCATACCTTATCTGGTGACCCTGCTTTACAAGTGCCAAGGGCACGTGCCCTGTATCTTCAGCCCACCCCTTCCCACCCTGCCAGGTAATAAATAGCAGGGCCTGCGCCTGGGACATGTAGTTTTTATTACTAAACCTGGGATGTCCCTAGGCAAACAGGGCCGATGCGATCACCCCAGGCCAGGGATGGCGAACCTTTCAGAGCTTTCAAAGATAACAAACACCTGCCACTGCTGCCCTTGGCTGAACAGATGTTGAATTTAGAAAATCTGCTCACTCTCTGTGCCTTAGTGAATTGAGGGCCACCCCAAGCCAGGGATCTGTGCCCCAGAGACCACAGTCTGCAGTTCAGCATCTCCAGGATGCCATCCGTCACCTTGACTGACAAAGAATTCCAACCTCTATTGAACTTCTCTTTTTCCCCCCTTAAAGACTCTTTGCTGCTGATTTAGTCTTGTTTTAAAATTCTGTCTGGCCAAGACGTCCTGTTTTCATCTCTGTGGGGCTCTACTTTAGTCATTTTCTTTTTCTTTTTTTATGTTTTATTTTTTGGTTTTTTGAGACAGGGTCTCACTATGTAGTTGAGACTGACCTGGAACTCACTTTGTAGCCTAGGGTAGTCTTGAACTCACAGCGATCCTCCTGCCTCAGCCTCCCGAGTGCTGGGATTACAGGCGTGAGCCACCACGCCCGGCACAGTCATTTCCTTTCTTTGCAGGGCAGTAGAATCTGCCTCCTGCAGTCTGCTTATCAGACTGCCTTGTATACCACAGGCCCAGACTTTGTTCTGACATCTCTTTATATTCGATCTCAGGGCTGTTTCTCTGCCAAGCAGATGTGTATTAAAATGTGCCTAAGAAAAGGGGCAAGCTGGGTTTATTTAGAAATTTCCTCAATTTGCACACACTCCATTGGTCTAGAGATTTTTTTTCTATAAAAACCCACAACAAACATATGTTAATAGCTATTTAGAGAGATCAAGACAAATGTGTATTTGGCCATTTCTGCCATCACCACTCTGGTCCCTTTGCCAGACACACAAAAACAGTGATTGAGTATTCATAGGCACGCAGACATCTGTGGCACATTGCAGCTTTTTTCTTGCTCGAAAGATCTCTTTTTTGCTCACAAGGAATGCATGACTTGAACAGCCTGGAAAAGGGGTTTTGTCCAACTGAAAGAGGTTGAGTTTTATCTTTTGCTCTTGTCAGGCATTACATCACATGCCATAGGATGCTGTGAATAACCTCAAGTTTCCACTTGGGTCTTTGGATCTCATGTGCACTCTAAAGACAGTTTATGATAAAGCCATTAAGATAAAGACAGTATGATAAGGGCATCCAAGAATCAAGTTTTTGCTTACTAAGCCAAAGACACAGCCACAGGGCTTAACTGTACAAAGAGAAAGTGAAAGTGAATCCTAAGCTATATACCAAGGATACTCTGAACTCCGTTTCCTGGATAGCCTATTTTGTACCTGGCTATTAACAGATGAACCTACCTTTCATTACCTTTTTGACCAACATTAACCTCATGGTCATTTGATCTGAAAGGTTTTTGTTTTGTTCTGTTTAAAAAACAAACAAACAAACTAGCAGCATGACAGCAAAGACACTGCAGGAAGGGGGTTGCGTCTGTCAGGTAGTCCAGTCCAGGAGGGAGTGGAAGAATTGGTCAGACGTGGTCAAATTCCAAGCAAGGAAACAGGAGTAGGGTGAAAGTAGGTGCCCGGAAAAGCCACCTGCAATTCACATTGCTATAGCATTTGCTCGGGGGCCTGTTCCCAACTGTTGACTGAGTGCTGGCAGCCAGGACAAGGCACTGTGAGCCTGTAGCAGAAGTGCTGGACACGGGGACAGAGCCATCCAGTCCACAAATGTGAAAAATGACAGGCCACTTCTAGGTCTCATTATTTTGGCGCTGAAGCAAATTAGGCATCCAAGGCCTTAGAGAACAGACGTAACTTGCAAGGATTATTTACAGTGACCCCTGAGCAACCGGTGAGAATCCTGTGTCTCAGTCATGTAGAAACCTACTTTATCTTGGACAATTCAGGAAATAAG